AATACTAAATTGTATGTACGCAAATATGTTAATTAATAAAGTTTGATTTCACAATATGTTCTCAATTAGCTGAACTTCTCCAATATCATATGAATGTTAATTCTCAGTATAAATGTTATGTATGAAGATTATATTTGCCACAGTATCATATCATTAATTATTGTTTAATACATATCTGAATGCTCATGTATATGTAATATTAAACATACTAAAAGACATATCAAAATTAAAATTTGAAATGATATGTAGAATAATATATACTGAAATGTGACGATAATATATACTGAAAACATTCTGAATACATTTACGTTATTATTATGTATTCAGCACCCCACAACCAACAGGCTACTCTTACCCAACCAGCAACAAAAATAATTAAAAACAAAACAATTGATTCAGCATATAGCTCAACTGCATTTGTCAGAAATTAACCACAACGCGAATGATTTCTACCGAATACAAATGTATATGCTTCAACTGGTTAACGATATCAAATCTCTCCTAATGAAACATGTTCATTATTTACATCCTCATGTCCAGTACATAAATTACTATTTCCTATGAGATTCTGAACTTTAATAACCAAAATTTAGCACATGTTATAGAAAACTTAAGGTTTTTACAATTATACAACATACATAACACATACATGAGTAGCAACAACATCATTTGACAACTTTTGAGTTCCCGGTACACTTTCAACAATGTTGTCTTGCTCTGCTGATGATTATTTCCCTAAAAAGTAGCATAACGCGTTAATAATCAAGTAAATATTGTTATAAACTTCAAATAAGTAAATAATGTTTAAAAAACAAATATCATGTCAGAATGGGTGTATAACTCACACCAAGTCTTTGTTTTCGTAATTTTTTATTTTTAGACCTACGTACCATTTCATCTACCTTCGATTGTTTTCTTTTGCATGGAGGACGACCTTTGCTGCGAGCTACCCATGGACTAATAATTAGACTATTCCTCTCTTTCGGAGGATTGTCCCCCTCTTTACTACCATGCCCTCCCTCACTTTTCTTCTGCTCCAAGTTATTTCTCATGTCAGTCATCAATTCCATCAACATGTTATAGTCTTCCTCATTGTTTGCTATATCAGCTACTGTCAGCATTAGATTAGACAACTTCTCAAAACGCTATCCTTCAACATTTGTGCTCCACCTATTATAACTTACCTTGATTTTCGTATGACATCTTTTAATGTTTTTCCTCCAACGCCGTAGAATGTACTTATCTGGAATGTGTGAAACCCTTTTATGAATCAACACAATAATGGCATGTCTACATAAAATCCCTTTAAACTCAAACAAATGACAATTTCAACGAATATCACATGAACTTTCTTCAAAGTATACCAAAAAGGGAACACGCCGATTACTATCTCCAAACCAAACATCTTCTAAAACTTGATACTCCTCATACGAATCAGACTTTTTCAGAAAAGATAATTCACAATAAATCTTCCCTGCAATCTCTTCTTGAAACTCTTTAAATTTTGCAGTTGTGTATGCATTTTGAAATTGTTTCTTAATGGGGTAATTATTTATGCACGGTATCCAAGACTTGAAAGATCTAAAATCAGCTTCCCTTTCCTTTTCCACTTTATCTTGCAATGCATTATCATATTGTTCCACAAATTGTTTCAATGTTGTTTTGGAATTTACATATCCATCAAAAAATGTATGCATACTTTCACTACGTTAGGTAGTAGACATACCTACCCAGAAAGTATCTTTAAGAAATGTAGGCACCCAACGTACTCTTTCTTTATATAATTCAGATAACCATTCATTCTCATGAATGTTATACACATCAATGAATTTGTTCCACCGTTCTTCGAACTCTTCACGTGTCAACGAATCATACACAATATTTTGTAACGTAAACTTTATAGTTTCATATTCGTTATACCCTTTTAACTTCTCAAGCAGTTTCTTCATTATATGCCACAAACGCCACCTATGTCTTGTACCGAGGAAAACAATCTCAATTGCATTTTGCATGGTCTTATCTTGATCAGTGATAATTCAATTAGGAGCAACATCCATGGATTCAAGCCAAGAACGAAAAAGTCATACAAATGTCTCTGTGTCCTCATATGAAATTAACCCATAACCTAACAGTGTCGAATGTCCATGATGATCAACCCCTACAAAAGCAGCAAATGGCATATCATACTTGTTCGTCAGATATGTTGTGTCGAAGGTCACAACATCACCGAAATCTTTATATGCAGCCTTACATCTAGCATCAACCCATAGCACATTCTTTAGTTGACTCTCTTCATCTATACCAATCATGTACTAGAAATTTGAATTCTCCTTTTGCATTTTCATAAAATACTCTAGTACTGCCGAAGCATCTCCAACTCCAAGTTGTAGCCTTCTAACTTTTTCAATGTAATTCCTATAATCTTTTTGTAGAAATGTCAAATTCTTTACACCTCATGCCTCAACTGAACATGACTGAAAATTTTTACACGGTCTAATCCTAGCCTAATCATTAATTTCAAGCCTCCTTTTCACAAAAGGTTGTATCATTTGGTTTACCTTGAAATATATTCTTTTCGTCGGACTTGTAAGATCATGGTTAAGTTCAAGCACAACTGATTTAATTTCCCATTTGTATTCACCATTCAAAGTTGTACTAATCTAACTCTTACAATCTGTTTTTGCAACAGGTTGTTTTTTCAAGGTATTTCTGCATTTACTTCTCTCCTTCCCAGAACAAGAACACGCCACTGTCACGTATCTCATCTCCCCATCATCTCCTTTCTTTAACGTACGTATCAGTGCTTCAAAACCCATTTTATTCCCATACCTTTTGTAATATCTCACCAAACTATCAACTGAATCAAACATCATTCCAATATGAGGCTCCACTTCTTCCTCTGCACATCCTGTATCTTTTAATTCATCACATTCATTTTCTTGATTCAATGGTTTTATAATAAAGAAAATTAGAATGTGCTAATACAACACATCATAATAAACAATACAATACAACACATTTTAAAAAGTTTCGTACACAATTTAGCTCAACATCATTGAAACGAGGCAAACTGGACTCTTCCATATTCCGTTATTTTATGCACAACTAATACCAATTTTCACGTTCACGAATCTAGTTCACAACAGTCGCCAACAAATATTATCTATCAAACATATATTCAATCCAAAATAGAATATGAAACTAAATGAGTATATAAAATAAATCAAAAATTCTTTACCTTAACAAAAAAATTCCGAGCTTTAAAGGGTTTGATATTTATTTCTGTTTCTCGGTTATCTCTATAAAAAGAGGTATTGCTACTGGTGCTTGGCTGTTGAGGAAGCAACCAACGTCAAAGCAAGGAATCACAACACGCAGACGAAGGAGAAGTGAAGAAAAACAAATGGCGCAGACGAAGAACAGAAGAAAAACAAATGACGGAGGCGAAGGAGAAGAGAAGAAAAAAATTTTGGCGCTTACAAATGAAGCGTATTAGACAAGCCAGTCATTAATATTAATAAAACAAAATATTTTTTTTCAACAAATATGGACGCCAGTCCATGTAATGCAGACGGTCGTCCATGTACTTTGGACAGCCGTCCAAAGTACATGGACGACTGTCCATACACAAGGAACGATCGTCCACACTAGATGGATTGGCGTCCATATGTACATTATATTTTAAAAAATAAAAATTTCACAAACTGGGGACGGTAATCCATCTAGTGTGGACGGCCTTCCCTACAAGATGGATGACCGTCCACAACAAATGGACTGTCGTCCCCATTATATTTTAAAACTATTTTTAAAAAAAAAATTCACAAACGATGGACGGCAATCCATCATTTGAGGACGGTTGTCCCTATAAGATGGAGGACCGTCCATATTGATTGGAAGCACATCCATAGAATTTGGGCGAGAATCCATTGTTTTTTTTTTTTTTAAACAAAACAACTTTTTATGGACGGTCGTCCATTCCACTATGAACGACCGTCCAAAATGTATGGACAGCTATCCGAAACTGCTGGACGATTGTTCATTTATGTCAATATTCAATCATCCAATGTGACACTCTCCACGTGTTGCGGTGCAATTGTTAGGTGGATATAGCATTTTTGTTCCCAAACACACCCCCCTTTAGTACTGTCCGCTAAAACAAACTCGCCTAGATCTTTGACCAGAAGGTGGAGAGACCCAAAAACTTATGGGCATTAAACCCGGAAGCCCATCACTAAGGTCAAGATGTGAGGCGATTAGAAAAAAAAAAAAATCGGAAACAAGGGGACGGGAGAACTGTCCTGCAGAGAGAAAAGAGAGAAGAAGAGAAGAAAAGGAGACAAAGAAGAAGAAGAAGCAAAAGAGTAAGAGAGGAGAGAAAAGAAAAAGGGAGGTAACCTAGTTTGACTTTGGGTTCGGAGACTCGACTGCCTTGGGATTGGTTTTTATCAAAACCTAGCTAGTTAGAGAGGACGAAGACGTTTAGAGCCTGGAAAATTATTGGGCTGAGCATTCAGGTATTATAATTTGATGAATTGATATCTTAGATTTTCATTTATTTTCTTTGACTGAGAAAGATGGTGTTATATTACTTGAATATTTCAGTATCTTATGTTAAGTTGGAAGGGTGATTTTGTTTTGGTTGGGTTGAGGGAGTGTGAGCTACTTTGAAATTTGGAAATAATTATATTAAAATTTTGAAATAATTACAGATGATAGGCCTGGTTTTAGGCAATTCAAAATGTTTAATTTATAGAATTGAACAGGGAATATATTATCCTCCTTATGAGAAAATTCAAGTATTGTGTTGAATTAGTTTATTAGATAGATGAACTTAACTCTTGACTAAATTTTTTTAATACTAACTTGTGGTGTTTGTTAATTGAATCTATTTGTGGGAAGACGAGAGCTGTTATTCAATGTTTAAATGATTATGGAATAGAATCGTGCAACCAAAATCTATTTTGAATTCATGAATGTTTTCTGATGATTATGGACTAGGCATCTGTCGATCCTTGGACCTTCATCTGTAAAAAAGGAACTAATCAATGTGTACAATACGCCCAATGCTCTTTTGTTTGAAACATCGTTGTGGTTTCCTGACGTGCGCACTTGGTCTTCTTTTTCATCAGAATTAGGGTAGGTGAAGGAGGAAAAGGAGGTGTTGGAAGTGGAGCACCAGCATGGATGATATCTACTTATGGCTGTTGTCATTCTTCTTACTTATTGCACTTCTCATCCTTATCGTTTACCAGGTTAACTCTCAGAACCCGTTCAGTTTTTTTGCTTCATTTGTTTCTTTTTAATGTTTATACTTCATACCATGACTAATTGCTTTTATTTTATATTTTACCAAATTTACATTAGGGTTATGGTTTTAATGTTATTATCAACTTTTTATATCTGAGTTTGTTCTGTTTTGATGCTTGACTAGTAATTTTTGTTATTTGTTAAGGCGGTCAACTTAATAGCCAGCATACATTTTAGGTTTATTTGTTTAATCACTTTAAAACAAAGTTATTTGCAGTTTCTGATGAGTGTTGAATAAAATTGCAAATAGACTATTGGTTATGAACTATATTAAAATATTCAAGTGGTTGTTATGAAATTTATTGTGCGGGGAACTTATTGGGTTTCCATTAATAACACCAATATTTTCTATTAAAGAAGATTGGTTGTCCTGTTTCCAGTTTGTCTTATTTATCATCAATTTCAGTATAACCGATTTGTTAGATTGGTGAATGTAACCTATTTCATGGCTGTTAACTTGACTAGTGGCTATTAGGTGACTAGGTTTCAACCTTTGCAATCTTTTACTTCAGTTAAGGTGTCTGGTGGGTACTTTGGGAACTAGTTTATGTTTGAAAATACATATAAGCTCTCATTTGCTAATTATTGGTTTTTTTTTTTTTCTGTATGATTTCAACTTTGTCGAGGCTTTTTTTTGGATATCTTTAGTATGCAGTAATGTAATTTTTACTGAATGGTTCAATAATTTGTTGCAGCTTATGTGCTTAGCAGATCTAGAGTTTGATTATATCAACCCTTATGACTCCTCATCTCGGATAAACCAAGTGATTTTACCGGAATTTGTCACGCAAGGGGTTTTATTTGTCTTCTTTCTCATAACAGGTCATTGGGTTATGGCACTGTTGTGTGCTCCATACCTCTACTATAATGTGAGACTGTAAGTTTAATTCTTCTCATTTCTTAATATGTTGAATTGAATATTCAAAATTGCTTGTGCAAGTATTGAGAGATGTGTATTCCTCTTAAGATATGTTTCCATCTGAGTTTGAACTGAGAGATGGAAGGGGCAGGGTTGCTAACTGCAATGAGGTTTTGTTTCATTGTCTATTAAAGATATTGGTAACATTTGATGTCACCAATTATATATTCTCAACCAATTTCTGAGCATTCCAGGCTATACAATACTGTTTCTGTTAAATTTTATATTTTCTCTCTGATCATTGGAAAATAAGTCTTAGTGTTAGAGGTATACTCATACAAGCATGGGCAGTCAAATACACCTTGTTTTGGATGACATACACTGCTTCACTACCTCATTTGTGCCCAAGGTCTGTCTGCACATGACCTGAATTTGCTGGTTAGAAACTTCTGCAATTTGAGGCTATGTTATGGTTATGCCTCGTATGCTGATTATAGATAGCACAACTTCTATGATCAAGTTGTTTTTGTGATGGGAATTTAATAATTTGAAATCCTGACACTGTATGACACCTGTACACATGTTAGCTTATGTTATTTCTCATATAATGACGATGAAATATCACTACAGTAAAGAAGGCTAAACCATAATAATGGTTTTGAAAAACTGAAACAATGGGTGTTTTTGAGAGAAGTAATCTTGTGTTCTGAATGTGTTAAGGACCCTTCAGATGTGAAATTCATTATTGATAAATTCATTTATTACAGTGTCAACCATATGTAATATACTGTATATTTGAAATTGCATTTATTTGCCATTCATTCCTATCATGTCATATCCTGCCTTCTGCGATTTATTTTGTGTTTGTGTCTATCATTCATTGCAATTGTGTCCTTTATGATAACTTCTAATTGTCATGAGATAAATACAAAAACCAGTTTATTCGAGTGATGATGAATGTAGCTTTGAGATTTATGGTGGGTTATGTGATCGTGCTGTAAAATGATACTGATTATTTATCTATTTATTTTTTTCAAATTCTCTCTTGTAACCAGTTACACACGAAGACAGCACCTGGTAGATGTAACTGAGATATTCAACTTGCTCCATTGGGAAAAGAAACAACGGCTTTTCAAACTTGCCTATCTTATTGTTCTCCTCTTTCTCAGCATATTCTGGTTTGTGATATACCAACATACCGCCTTTAAGAATCTTTGTTCGAAAGCAATTCTTGTTGATTTCTTTTAATATATTTCTTGTAGGATGATCTGGTGTGCATTGGAAGATCACGATGATTGATTGAGGAAAATTGTTTTCCATAAGTTGCTGTCTTGTATGATTAAAATATGCTGTCTCATTTAAGCATTGGGGTTGTTGTAACCAATATGTTAGCCTGGTGTTCAACTTTGGAATCTTTTGTTGATTCATTTTAGATTAGGCTTTAAACACCGTCTTGACCTTAAAAGATTACAGCAACTTTGAGGTGTTCTAGCAGGTAGGTTTTTTCTTCTTTTTAGCCATTAAACTATTATGTGGTATTTAACACCTTGCCGATAATTGTTACTGTAATCTTTGATTTATTCGTGCTTGGAAAGGCTCAGTTTGAGTCCAAATTTGTTAAGTGATGGAACTAGTGTGGCTTAGTAAAATGTAAACCATCTATTAATAATTCTCTTAAATGAGGATGGTGGTTGTATTGCAATAAGATGTGCAGAAAATTTCCTCCCCATTTGGTTCTCATTAGAACCGGAAAGATATTTTTGTTACCAAATACGCCAATGAATATGCAAGTGATGAAATTTTAATTGTCCAGTTTATAGAATAAACACACCATTATTAATTTCCCTTTAAGATATATTTCGATGTTACATTTACTGCTATTTCTCGAATTTACCAGAAGTATAGGCATGATTATTGTTCTTATTTATTAGTTATAATAATATTTTTTTTATTATTGTGATTTTTCAATTTTAATAATATTAATAGTTTAGCCTTTATAAATTAATCGACTTAGACTAGTAGATTAAATTAGTAATTTTGATAAATTACTAAAATAATATTTTTTTGAAAAACCGTACATCTCACACTTATATCATAAATAAATAAATAATTCGTTAATTGACAATGATATTTTATTAAAATATGATTTTATTAATACTTTCTTTTTTAAATTTAAATTTTGTCGGATCTCATCTATAATTTTTTTTTTTTTTTATTACATTTAGGAGTTCTGGGTTGAACTCTAGAATTGCAATAAAAGATTATAAAATGTTGTTTCGAATTGCAATAAAAAATAAATTATGAACTGTTGTTGATGTTTGAAGTGTTTCCTTGGTTAAGTACATAAAGACAATGAATTTAAATTAATACTTTAATGTATATTTGGTGGACTAATTCATGTTCACTTGATTAGATTGGTAAAATACAATGAATTTTTAATTAATTAGATGTATGTTCGTGGAATAGTAAATACATTCTATAAATTAATAAATTATTAATTTATTGATTAATTAATAGAATTTATATAGTCCCAAAAGTTATTAATTTATAGAGATTATATTGTATTAGACTATTAGTAATAGTTGACAGTTATTTGTATTTATAAAATCAATTAACTACAAGGATTTTTATATAAATATTACAGATCTTCACACAACATACCCGATTCTAGTTCACTAATACAAGGAACCTTCCTTCTGCATTCTAGTCTCTAACCCGATATTCTGAAACAACCTTGAGGCGATGTTTAATTATAAGAATTGACAAGGGAATAGAATTAGGGTTCCTAATTCCCTTGTTTACTTACTGGAATTAAGTAAAGAATTGGAAAATCTTTATTCTTGGGCTAGGGAACCAATAAAATTATTTTTTTTATCCTATTTTGAATTTAAATTTTTTATTTTATATCTCAATGATTTATTATTTTATAATTTAGTAATCACTAAAATAGATATTTGTAAATGTTGATATTTGTTATATAGTGATTGGAGTTGGTCGTCATTAACCACTGTTGGCTAGACCTGGCAAACGAGCGGGCTGGGTAGTTACAGGTAACGGATAAAACGGGCATAGGTAAAAAATTCGTACGGGTAGACAAATGTATGACTCGTACCCACCTATGCGGGTGCAGATCGACCTGTGGGTCACTTGCAAAAACAAAATCATACGAAGGAAGACAATATGTAGGTTTTGGGTGTTTGTTTAAGCTTATAAGCTGGTCAAACTTGCTTATAAGCTTTAAAATTAAGCTGACCTGTTTGTTTATAATTTTTTTGAACTTATAAGCAAAAAAAAAAAAAAGTTTGGGGAGGTACTTTTTTTTTTTTGGCTTATAAACATTTTGCTTATAAACTAGTTTGACCAAGTATATTACCGTATTATCCTTGTTTAATTTTAAAATTTCATAGTATGCCTTTGTTTAATGTAATACCTTTTTTAGTAATTTTATAATAAAATATACTTATAAGCCATATTTTACCATACACGTCAATTACTTATCAGTCACTTATAAGAACTTTAATCGAACACGTAATTACTTAAAATTTTAAATACTTATAAGTTAATTTTAGTTTATAAACCATTGTTGCTTAAAACTAATTTTTATAAGCTCCAACGTTGCATGAAAGGTTGTCATTAAGTCAAAGTGCCTGTAAATTGTAATAATTGAGTACTTGGTTCAGGGGAGAGGTGGCGATTGGGTGATTTTTTTAGTCTTCTGAGGCGCTTTTATCTGAGGAAGAAGATGGCAGAGATTAGTGCTAAAGCTGCCGCTGTGAGAGGGATGAAGTAGGAGGAAAAGTCTTGCATTAAAAGAGTAATATTAACCCCACTCCAAGAAATAATTATTACCAAAATTTATGACCTCGTGCCAAGAGTTGATGAAGCCTCTTGAATGTTTATCATTTATTGATTTTTTAATAAATGGTAAACATTCAAGTTAATTGAGAGCTGAAGAAAGAGAGAGAGATTGAGAGCTGCGCCGTGAGAGAGAATAAGAGTTGAGTGTAAGAGAGATGGAGAGCTGCGTGAGAGATTAAGAGCTCAGCGTGTGAGAGATTGAGAGCTGAGCGTGAAAGAGATGGAGAGCTGAGCGTTAAAGAGATGGAGAGCTGCGTCAGAGAGAGATGGAGAACTGTGTGAGAGTCTGAGAGAGATGGAGAACTGCGTGAGAGTCTAGAGAGATTGACAGCTGCTGGTGCTAGGTGCTGCTAGCTGCGGGAGTGAGAAATGGTTTAGGGTTTTTTGGGTTTAAGTTAAAGTATGGGTATCCATGGGCATTACCCGACCCTCCCGCAATTTTCACGGGCGAGTCGAATACGAGTAATTTTGAAACAGGTAATATTAAGGGATACCTGTACCCGTCCGTTAGATGCGGGCATCCGTTTACTCGTGAGTATAGTCTCTTTTGTCAGGTCTACTGTTGATCATATATTTTTAAAGTAAAAAAACTATAATGAACCTAAGATTATAATATAAACTGTTTTAATTTTGAGGACATTTTTGTCATTTAGCTCATATATCATTTTCTTCCCTCCATACTCAATCTTATAGGGCTGTTTGAATCAGGGGTATAAAAGATAACGGGATAATCTTTGTTTATTTTGTAAGACTCCTAGGTTTGGTTTGCAAATAATAAAATATCATGGTAATCTTTTATTGTTAATAGTATTAATTGTTGATAATATAGAGGGTAATCTTATTATCTTGCTAGGGGGTGTTATTAAAACATTGCCGGGGTAATCTGATTTTTTTACCCATTTTACCCTTAATTAAAAACAATTTCGGACACAATTGCCCTCAAATGTCTACCAAATAATTATTATCCAGTCTCTCTAGATTTGAGAAATTAGCTAAAACACCTCAACCACAAAAAAAATTTAAAAATTAATAAAATTCCCTCAGCCACCCAAGACCACCACCAATCGTCGCGCGTCAATCGTTGTAATGGTGTACAATTGGTGAGATCTGACCGATTGTACGTCGATAAGGCCTTTTTCAGCCATGGATCACATCCATGGTAGGAAACGACAAAATTTGGCGTTCTGTGGTTGTTTCACGGCCAGATTTGTGGCTATGAAATGGCCATAGATTTGGCTGTTTTTGGGCCATGGATCACATGACAAAATTTGGCGTTCTGTGGTTGTTTCACGACCAGATTTGTGGCCATGAAATGGCCATAGATTTGGCTGTTTTTCGACCATGGATTTGTGATCCATGGCCATTTCCAACTTTGTCGACCATATATGACCAGTCATGCATCATTCCGTAGACTGTTGGCGGTGGCTGGTTATCGACAGTGGCTTGGGGTGGATGAGGGTAATTTTGCTACAAATTAAAGTTTATATAATTTGGGTGTTTTAGCAAAATTTTAAATATAGGGGGTTAAAAGAAATGATTCAAAAAATAGCAATAAAAAATACTATATTATATTTTTTAAAAAAGAGTAATTTAGGCTCTGTTTGGTTTACTTTTTTGCAGTTTTTTGAAAAAAGTTAAAAAAAAGTTAAATTGGGCGGTATTATGATGTAAGATTTGGAAATTAATAAAAATACCCCCTATTTTTGTTTACTTACTAAACACCCCTATAATAAAACTTTGAAAGTTAACAAAACACAATCAACCCACCCATTGAATAATCACAGTTGGCCACCACAGCCGGAGGGTGGCCGGAGTCGCCGTGTCGGCGCATGACCAGCTGGATCTTACCGGTCGTATGCCGATATGGCCTTTACCGGCCAAATCCATGGTGGATCTAGTCGGCAAAGGCTAGATCTGGCCGCATTTGCTCATCAACGATAGCCAAAGATACGGACGTCTGGTTACGGCCAAAGATCTAGCCTTTTCCGGCCAGATCCACCGTGTATCCAATTGAAAAAGGCTAGATCAACGCACTACCAGCTGAATCATATCAGATTCCGGCCACCGACCGGCAATGGTGGCCGGAATCTGGTATAATGTGGGTTTAGAGGTGTTTTTGCAATTTTGAAAAAAAATATTTAGGGGTATTTAATTAAATTAACAAATTTATGGAATTTAAAAAAAGTTGAATAATATTGGATAATATTGTAAGTTTTTGGACATTTTACTGTTTAACTTTTTTAGGAATACTAATAATAGTATTCCCGAAAACCGACCAAACGGAGCCTTAATAATTTATATAACATACTCACTCATTTATCCTTCCAATCAAAAATATTATTCATCAATTTATTTAAACTAACTAAACACATTTTTTAAATATTTCTAATAATTTTCAAAGTGATATTCCATTCCATTAATATAATATATCCACATGATAAAACACTATGGCTCCGTTTGGTTCACAATTTTGTGTTTTTGGGAAAAGTTTTTTGAAAAAAGTTAAAAAAAAGTTGGGTGTTGTTTAAGCTTATAAGCTGGTCAAACTGCTTATAAGCTTAAAATTAAGCTGACCTGTTTGTTTATAATTTTTTTGAACTTATAAGCAAAAAAAAAAAAAAGTTTGGGGAGGTACTTTTTTTTTTTTGGCTATAAACATTTTGCTTATAAACTAGTTTGACCAAGTATATTACCGTATTCCTTGTTTAATTTTAAAATTTCATAGTATGCCTTTGTTTAATGTAATACCTTTTTTAGTAATTTATAATAAAATATACTTATAAGCCATATTTTACCATACACGTCAATTACTTATCAGTCACTTATAAGAACTTTAATCGAACACGTAATACTTAAAATTTTAAATACTTATAAGTTAATTTTAGTTTATAAACCATTGTTGCTTAAAACTATTTTATAAAGCTCCAACGTTGCATGAAAGGTTGTCATTAAGTCAAAGTGCCTGTAAATTGTAAAATTAGTACTTGGTTCAGGGGAGAGGTGGCGATTGGGTGATTTTTTTAGTCTTCTGAGGCGCTTTATCTGAGGAAGAAGATGGCAGAGATAGTGCTAAAGCTGCCGCTGTGAGAGGGATGAGAGGAGGAAAAGTCTGCATTAAAAGAGTAATATTAACCCCACTCCAGAAATAATTATTACCAAAATTTATGACCTCGTGCCAAGAGTTGCATTGTGATTTTTCAATTTTAATAATATTAATAGTTTAGCCTTTATAAATTAATCGACTTAGACTAGTAGATTAAATTAGTAATTTTGATAAATTAATAAAATAATATTTTTCTGAAAAACCATACATAACTTTGTAGTCACATTCATATCATAAATAAATAAATAAATAATTTGTTAATTGACGATATTTTATTAAAATATGATTTTATTAATTTTTTTTTTAAATTTAAATTTTATTGGACCTCATATCTAATTTTTTTCATTATATATAGAAGTTCTGGGGTTGAACTTAGAATTGCAATAAAAAATTATAAAATGTCGTTTCGAATTGCAATAAAAAATTATGACCTGTTGTTGATGTTTGGAGTGTTTTTTTGGTTAAGTACATAAGGAAAATGAATTTAAATTAATACTTTAATGTATATTTGGTGGATTAATTCATATTCACTCGATTAGATTGGTAAAATACAATGAATTTTTAATTGATTGGATGTATGTTCGTGGAATAGTAAATATATTTTATAAATTAATAATTTATTGATTAATAAATACCTTTTTTAATTAATAGAATTTATATAGTCCCAAAAGTTATTAATTTATAGAGATTATATTGTATTAGTAATAGTTGATAGTTATTTGTATTTACAAAATCAATTAACTACAAAGATTTTTACATACATATTACAGATCTTCAAACAACATACCCCATTCCAGTTCACTAATACAAGGAACCTTCTGCATTCTAGTCTCTAACCCGATATTCTGAAACAACCTTGAGGCCATGTTTAATTATAAGAATTGACAAGAGAATAGAATTAGGGTTCCTAATTCCCTTGTTTACTTGTTGGAATTAAGTAAAGAATTGGAAAATCTTTATTCTTGGGCTAGGGAACCAATAAAATTATTTTTTTTATCCTATTTTGAATTTATATTTTTTATTTTTTATTTCAATGATTTATTATTTTATAATTTAGTAATCACTAAAATAGATATTTGTAAATGTTGATATTTGTTATACAGTGATTGGAGTTGGTCGTCATTAACCACTGTTGGCTAGACCTGGCTAACGAGCGGGCCGGGTAGTTACCGGTAACGGATAAAACGGGCATAGGTAAAAAATTTGTAAGGGTAGACAAATGTATGACTCGTACCCACCTATGCGGGTACCGATCGACCTGTGGGTCACTCGCAAAAACAAAATCATACGAAGGAAGACAATATGTAGGTTTTATATTTGCATGAAAGGTTGTCATTAAGTCAAAGAGCCTGTAATAATTGAGTACTTGGTTCAGGGGAGAGGTGGCGATTGAGGCGCTTTTATCTGAGGAAGAAGATGGCAGAGATTAGTGCTAAAGCTGCCGCTGTGAGATGGATGAAGTAGGAGGAAAACTCATTTATGACCACGAAAGTCTTGCATTAAAAGAGTAATTAACCCCACTCCAAGAAATAATTTTATTACTAAAATTTATGACCTCGTGCCAAGAGTTGATGAAGCCTCTTGAATGTTTATCATTTATTTATTTTTTAATAAATGGTAAACATTCAAGTTAAATTGAGAGCTGAAGAAAGAGAGAGAGATTAAGAGCTGCGCCGTGAGAGAGAAGAAGAGTTGAGTGTAAGAGAGATGGAGAGCTGCGTGAGAGATGGAGAACTGTGTGAGAGTCTGAGAGAGATGGAGAGAGCTGCGTGAGAGAGAGATGGAGAACTGCGTGAGGGTCTGAGAGAGATTGACAGCTGCTGGTGCTAGGTGCTGCTAGCTGTGGGAGTGAGAAATGGTTTAGGGTTTTTTGGGTTTAAGTTAAAGTATGGGTACCGGCGGGTATTACCCGGCCCACCCGCAATTTTCACGGGTGACTCAAGTACGAGTAATTTTGAAACAGGTAATATTAAGGGATACCTGTACCCGTCCGTTTACTCGTGAGTATAGCCTCTTTTGCCAGGTTACTGTTGATCATATATTTTTAAAGTAAAAAAACTATACTGAATCTAAGATTATAATATTAACTTTTTTAATGTTGAGGATATTTTTGTCATTTAGCACATATATCATTCTCTTCCCTCAATACTTAATCTTATGGGGCCGTTTGGATCAAGGGTATAAAAGATAACGGGATAATCTTTGTTTATTTTGTAAGACTCCTAGGTTTGGTTTGCAAATGATAAAATATCATGGTAATCTTTTATTGTAAATAGTGTTCATTGTTAATAATATGGAGAGTAATCTTATTACCTTGTTAGAGCGTGTTATTAAAACATTACTGTGATAATCTGATTTTTTTACCTATTTTATCCTTAATTAAAAACAATTTCGAACACAATTGTCCTCAAATGTCTACCAAATAACTATTATCCAGTCTCCCTACATTTGAGAAATTAGCTAAAACACCTCAGCCACAAAAAAAGTTTAAAAGTTAATAAAATATCTTTAGCCACCCAAGACCACCACCAGTCGTCGGCGTTAGTCGTTGTAATGGTGCACAATTGACAAAATTTGGTCGGTTGTGTGCTGGTAAGGCCTTTTTCGGCTATGGATCACATCCATGGCCAGAAACGACAAAATCTAGCGTTCTGTGGCTATTTCACGGCCAGATTTGTGACCATGAAATGGCCATAGATTTGTCTGTTTTTGGGCCATGGATTTGTGATCCATGGCCATTTCCAACTTTGTCGGTCATATACGACTAGTTATGCATCATTCTGTCAACTGTTGGCGGTGGCTAGCTATCGACAGTGGCTTGGGGTAGGTGAGAGTAATTTTGCTACAAATTAAAGTTTATATAGTTAGGGTGTTTTAGCAAAATTTTTAATATAGGGGGTTAAAGGAAATTATTCAAAAAATAATAATAAAAAATATTACGTTATATTTAAAAAAAGAGTTATTTAGTAATTTATATAATATACTCACTTATTTATCCTCCCAATTAAATATATTATTCATCAATTTATTTGAATCAACTAAACACGTTTTTTAAACATTTTCAATAATCTTCAAAGTGATATTTCTTTCCATTAATATAATGAATAATACTACATATACATCATTCACATACAACATTTCTCATACAACATAATGTGGTAAGATATAATTAGATAAAAATTTAATTTTAACTTTAAATTAGTCAATCATATCTTATCACATAATATTATATAAAAATAATATATATACTCTAATATAATATATCCACATGATAAAACACTGTATAATCCAAACTCGTAAAAATTAGTTAACTGTATTTTCGTAGGGTTTCTTCTTATTATTCTTTACATAATTAGTGAAAACGACCTTTTCGGATTTTACTGGACTGAGGTCAATAAGTGATACTGTCTTGAAATCTTTAGGGACCAAAATTAACTCGGCGGTTTACAAACAAGTCGCACACTCTTCACGCAAAAACAAGAACAAACAAGAGCAGCGATTATCTAACTTCAAATGGCAAGAGATAGCTGCTTAGCACGTGTCGGCGCCGGAGTTGCCGTTGGCGGTGCTGTCGGCGGTGCGGTCGGTGAGTTCTCTCATATTCATATACCTTTTTAATCTTCTTCCTGAAAAGCCTAAACCCTAATTGACACTGACGAATATTTCGTTTGCTAGAATTTTTAACCATTAAATCGAGACGTTTAGTTTATTTATCTGTTGATTATTTGTTCTGGTTTAGAATTAAAAATGTTCTAATTGAGTTGATTTTGATAAGATAAGATTATAAAATTGGAAGTTGAGTTTTTCAATTTTTTTAATGCTTTCTCGGCCAACCAAACAGAGACTTTAGTTTTGTCGGCATTGTTAAATTTTCCTTTAGACAAATAATAATGTTGAGTTTTAGTGTGGTTGTTATATGGTACAGGATAATTGGCTAATTAGTTTATATGATGAAATTATTTATTTTAGGGATTTAACATTGTTTTGAGAAATTAATATTGCTAGAAAGGTAGAAAATTTGTGCAAGAGTGTATATAGGCTTATGTAAGAAGCTATTTAGGGTGAGAAAAGATTAGTAACTTTTGCTAGACTCTGAAAAAAAATTATTTTCTTTAGTTTTTAGGCAAGCGGGCATGTAAAGTGTGGCCATGATTATTTTTGTTGGTTAAATATGTTGAAGAAACCATTTGGGAAGGTTTTTTACTTTGAGCTTCTAGTTTTATCATAAGAGGAATGTAAGGATAGTTCTGGAGGATCTTTTGGATGAAAAATCATGATGATTATGGTAGACGGCAGGTGATAGTATGTGGTATCTGGGTTATATTTCTTTTTATCCTAATACAATATTGGGATTCAGATATCTCTACTGTTTTGGAATAGTTTTCATAGATTTATGGAATTTGATGATTACTTGAATCTTCATGCCTTAAAATTTTATATTTTTGTCTTGAATTTACCTTTTTCTGTTTTTGGTTTGGCATATAAGCTTTGCCTTGCTTCTACGTCAAAAACTGTAATCTATATATATATATTTTAATAAGTTTAACATGCAGGTGCTGTTTATGGGACTTATGAGGCTATTAGATATAAGGTACAGAGTTTGATTTTCCCCCCTTCATATGAGACAATGGTGATACTGTCTGCCTTATTTATTTATTTTTTTTAATTTTGTTACAGACAACTGTTATGACATCATTTTATTTTATTTTATTTATTTATTTATTTAGAGTCTGGATAATAAACCTAAAAAAGTTATTTTTATTTAAAGTCTGGATGGTAAAACCTAAAAGAAGTGTTTCGTGACAATAGGAGTCACCATTTTGTGCTTTCAATAGTTAGTCCAACGGTTGGGTTCAGTTCTGGGGATGAAAGGTTCAAATCCCTTGGGCTAATACTCAGTGACATGTTAGGAAGGTCAAAGGTTTTTTGGGTATAATGGAAAAAGGTTTAGGACTAAGAAAAGCTACATGGCTTTGAAATCATAAACCATTTTGATATTGCCACTCTTCACCTTATAGCCAGTATCACCACCATCAGTAGCCACCAAACCAGTTCTTATCATTGCCCACCACAACTGCCACCACTTCACCATTAACATCACCATTGTCATCTCCATCAACTGTCACCCCTTTTTTGCTACCATTGACCCGCAGCACATGCCTAGGGTTCAAAAGTTGTCCCTATATACATGACCACGCCACCTGTAAATCAGTGTTGTGACTACCATTCCATCATTCTCATAATCATTATTGTTGCCACCCTATCCGAACATCGTTCTAATTGCTACGATGATTACCACTACTGATTGCCAGCCGTCTATACCACAATGACAGCCATAGTCATGCTATCACTATCGTCCTTTTAATAATACTAATAGCATATTAAGATCACTACCTATTACTGCTACCCAATTACCATAGCTTCCTTATCATCTCTAGTTAACATATTTTATAGTTAACATATCATCTCTACTCAATTACCATAGCGACCCAATCATCTCAAGTTAACTTATTTTTCAGTCAACGGTGCACTAATTCTGACATAAAATTACTTACTAATACTTTCTAGAATTTAGTAACAATTATTCTTATTCGGACATATTACATGATCTTTGAGTTTAATTTAAAAAAAATGGCCCAACGTTGTCCACAGAATTCATTATCAGGAACTGTTGCAGATTTAAGAAAAGTATTACAACATATTTTCTTATGCAAATTTTAATTTTTTTAGGACATTTAGAAGCATGGAATCATTGCTTTTAAATTGTTTTCATCATGGAAATTTTTTACTAGAATATTGACCTGAACTTTTTTGAAATTATTACTAAATATTTATTAATATATTTAGTGATATTTTATAACCTAGCTACTACATTATACTAATGATTTACTTAAGATACTTAAAGATATCTTTGATATTTTGTTGTTTTTGTAAAGTTGTTTTAGTCCAAACACTTTATTCCATTAATGATTTTCAAATCAAATGTTGGAATCTAATTTAAACTCTCATTGCTGTCTCCTCCCTAATTCTTTCTTATTCTTTTTTCATTTCATTCCTTAAAGCTAACATAGCCTCAGTGCCTGACCTTTGTGCATAGTGTACAGAGACCTCTCTAGGTTCACTAGAATGGCCATGTTGAATTTTAGCCTCTTGTTAGAATTTGAGTTGGGCCTAACTCCTCACCCAAAAGGCCTTATTGAGTGGAAGGATTGTCCACTCTTATAAACCCATTGGCTTGAGTGTGCCTAGTCGATATGGGATTTCCAATACCTCTCACAAATGTTCATCGTGTTAGGCTTCAGTTCCTTAAAGATCTACATATCAAAGTAAAAAAGTGTATCATTTAGCAATGTAGCAAGAGTTAATTCATTTTATTAGACTTATTATTTGTGTTGGTTAATTATATTTTGCAGATGACTAATGGTGTTCTATAGGTTGAGATTTGAATTTAATTCCGTTGGTTCCAGGGAATGAAACTTTAGGGAGAGTAGCAAAACACTTTAAAAGAGAAAAGAATATCATTATATTTTCTCAGAATTGGATGTAACTGAAGCACATCACTTTACTTGCATAAAATTTACCTTTTGTGTTTGGGTAGTTTGAGTTGGTTGAGTGCAGTTTGGTGAATTGGGATTTAACTAATCAAATTGTAAGACTGCATTGTAGCACAACTTTTTTATATATAAATTTTAATGTATGGTTCTAAGTTTAGATGTTGAACTTAATTTCTGCAGGTTCCAGGAATACTAAAGATCAGATATATTGGTCAAACTACCTTAGGGAGTGCAGCAATTTTTGGTCTTTTCTTGGGTGCTGGTAGCTTGATACATTGTGGGAAATCTTACTAACTTTTCTCTTGCTTTGTGACATTTAGGTTGTGTTAATTTGTGTTATCATAAGTGCCTTTAATGCTTAGTAATATTTTTTTTTATTCCATGTTCTGTAGAGGAGGAATTCTGCACCTTTATGTCTGTTTTTTTAATTGTTTTATGAATTTTGACAGAAAATGATGGTATTTATATTTATGTTGGAAGCTGTGATCTTAAAAAAAAAAAGGGATTACATATGTTTTTAGGGGTATAATACTTGCGGAGTGAGAGGACATTTTACTTTATCACATTTCGGTATTACTATCGATTGAGTTTATTAGAGGAAGTATATTCATAAATTTGTTATCATATTTATTTATTATCCTGAAATGGCCAGTTCAGGCTTTAACCTTTCTGCTGACAACTGTAAAAATGGGTTAGGGGAAATTTAGTTTATTTTTTGCATTACCCTGTACTAACTTCTGATTATTAGTAAATATACCAAGTTCTTTTTGGAGAAAAATTAGAAGTGAGGCTGAGATGAACATATTATATCTTTGTCCTATCTTAGTTATTTTTTCAACAGTAAACATCTTGCGGTGAGAGAAATATAAACTCTAGTTAGTATTGATAGCTTTTAGCTTAATCAGATTGCCAATTCAAAGCATGCAAGATGATATATATTACTTAATAATAGTTATGGGATATATATATTTATGATCCATTCAATGAACAACAGTAGAACTATAGTGATATTCTATATATGAATAATCTTCATGTAATCATAAAAAAAAAATGTCTCTATTTGAGCCAGTTATAAATAAAAATAAAATTCATATTGTAATAAGTTATAATTTTTGTAATTCTCGTTTTAAGGAACATGCCTTTATATAGTAATAATTATATGTATATTGAAAAAAATATTTGTTAGGTTACATTAAAAGTTTAAGATGAAGTAAAATATTTATCTAAAGTTGTTTGTGATAATGATTTATATTTTAAAGTTGTTGTCACATCTTTTATTTTGCGAGTACGTAATAAGTCGTCAACATGGATACCTTCTTATTGAAACCAAAATATTTCTAGCTCTCAAACATGTATAGAGTTTTTTGGCATAAAATTTTTTGTATTTACGTACTATCATTCTCAGGATTATCTCCTTCCTCTTTTTGTTTAATTCTAATAATGATTTCTTCTTCATTTAAAATATATTTTTTGTTCATTTGGATGATTGAGGAAGACATTAATATCCATTTGATTAGTGTAGTGAAGTTGTCGAATCTGATCACTCAATTTTACAATGACTCTTTGCTATCTATTTTTGTACTATCCTAATGTTATTAAAACAATGAATTTAAATCCTAATATTACTAAAACCATGGTTTTAAAACCTGGACCGGCGATGACCTCCCCTTTTCCGTTTACCTTCCACCTTCCTTTGTTGTCGGAAACCACCTTCTAACATTCTTTGAGGCCATGACGCTTCATCTCCCGCCGTTGCGCAATGTTTCGTTGTCCAACAATTTTTCTTCCATTTCTCGGCATCGATCGTGCCTTCTCTGACATCGATAAACCTCCCCAGCCACCGATCTACCTTCTCCCAAGCTCCTTTGTCGTCGTTCACGAAGATCCACAATCATCTTGCCAAAAAAAACCATTGCAACCGTTTGACTTTCACCACCGATTTGCCACTTTCCAGCGATGCCTCAACTTGCTAACTGCTGATTCGTGCTCCCCATCACCCGATCTACCTTCCCTAGTGTGTCGTCGCCGCTCTCCCAGTCGATTGCCGATTTAATTTGGCTAGGGGTTGTGTTTGCTCGATTTCAAACCTATAGGGTTTGATGGTATTTATTAGGGGTGTATTTGCTAGATTTTAAACTTGTCAAACCATTGGTTAAACTGTCAGTTAAACCAGTTAACTCGTGACTCGGTTGCCGGAACGGGTCACCCCCCGAGTAGGGTTTTAAAACCTTGACTAAAACATGAATTATAGAGTAAGAAATCAAAACAATAATTTTTGTAATTATACCTTTATTAAATTATAACTTTCTTATACTAATAAATTTAATTGGTCTCAATATTATGATTATAGATAAATTTTATTGTCTATAAGATCATCCTTTCGAGAATTGCTAATGCAACAACCAGAAGGCTTGTTAATACAAGCAATAGATAAGAAAAGTATAGCAAGCAGCAACAGCAGCGTGCAATGCATCCCTCAACCGGTCGTCTTTTAAATTAATATCATTGAATCTTGACTAAACCAATTGGAAGTCTATCTTAATTGCTGATCTCTCCGGCGAACCGAAACTTTTAATCCGCCGGCCATGTGAACCGTCAAGAGTGGCATGAAGACTAGTTGATCGGACCTGACTGGTATGATTTCAAATTGCTCCAATATAGAAGCTACTACATATTTCATTTGAATGAAAGCCATCTCTTCCGAGACAAACCCTTGGAACAGCTTGAAAAACTGGAAATTTATATGGACATACCTTTTTTGGTTTTCCCCTTTTTAGAACCATCGCTCTGGTTTGAATTCGAACCAATCTTTAACCCATAATGCTTCCATTCTTCCCATTCCGTAAGGAAAATATGTCACTCTATCTCCTGCCTGGACTGGTGTTCCATCTGGCAACAAATCGTTAACAACAGCATGTTTTGAGTCCCAGGCCATGTAACGCCCCGCTTGAGGTACGTACTTACGATTTGCTGTATTAGTTAAAAGTTTACTGTTTCAGTATCAATTGAGTTTGTATGTTGAGTTGGTTGAATGGTTGTCTTGAAATAGGTTGAGTTTTGGTGAAGTTTGAAAATCCAATCTTCGCCGGGGCGAAGAAGAAGCTTCGCCGCGGCGAGGAGGAGTTACCCCCACGGGTAGGTTCTGCACTGTTTCGCCGAGGCGATAGAAAGTTCTTTGCCGCGGCGACGAGCCTAATAAAAAGTTTCTTGAGTTTTCTAGATAATTCTTTCTTTGGGGCATAATGACCATTCTACCCCTAATTAGTAGGAATAGTGGGGAGTAAAATGTAAGGAAATTAAGTAGAGAATGTGTTGATAATAAGGGTGTACTTGCAAAGAATCAAAGGATATGGATGAAATTTCCAAGGAGGAGCAAGGGCAAAATGGGAAATGATGCTTATAATATGAGCTAAAAAGAGTTAAAGTGTAGAGAAACCCTTTATTCATTCATTTCCACCGCCATATCCATTCTCTAATTTCTCTCAATCTTCCATTCAATTTTCCTAAGATTTCTAAGGGATTTAAGAGAGCTTTTGAGTAATTTTGAGTAGAGATTTCATCTAAAGCATCCTAAGGTAAGGATTCTTGCTTTAGATGTGAGTTTTGCTTATGGTTAGATTGAAGTCTTATATTGTATTATTGTTCTGTTGTTGTTTTAAGTGAAGAGAGAAGACAAGACAACAAAGGAAAGGAAAAGTGCTAGAGAAGTCACTTTTCACAAGGTAAGTAAATCAAACTCAAGCTAAGGTTTAAGCAATTTTTTAGAGATTTATTTATGCATGTATATATGATGCTTATTGAGAAATTGAGTAGAGATGTATGTCTATTTGTTGAGGAATTGAGTTGAGAAGAGTATTTATGTTATGGTTGTTGGATATTTCCTTTATGAGAAGTGTTGTTGATGTGTGATGAGTTTGAGATGAAGTTGGAGGAGATTGAGTAGATATTTTGGAAGTGTTCTTCTATGATAGGAACCATGTCCATAGAAGGGAGTTTCTTCCCATTTTGGATGGTTAAAAAGAGAAGGAGAGTGGTAGTTAGAGAAGAGTTTTTGTATGCACATAAGTTGCTTGATGAAATGCCTAGGTGAAATCTGCCCTGTCACTGCCGTCACTTTCTAAGTGATTTTTGGGAATTTTAAGGATTGAATTGGGCTGAGACCAAAACATAGAAGTTATAGCCCTGTCTCTAAGCTTTAAAACGAGACTAAAACCGTAGCAATCCGAGGTGTATAACGCAAGTTATGGCCTTTTTAGTGTGACCTGTGCAGAATGGCCGTTTTGAGGCAATCTTGCATTTGGCATTTCATAAGTGCATTAGTGAGCATGAGTTGTCCGTACACATTTTCTTATGCACTTAAGAAGTAGCTTGAGAAATGATAGAGAATGTACGTATAAGCTACTTTAAGAGCTAAGAGAAAGAGAGAATAGAGTAGATTGTGCGATGGGGAACCCGTGAGTAATGGGTAGAGTTTCCCGCATGTACGCCGCATTGAGAGAGCGGCATGAGTATGAGAGAGAGAAGTGGTGTAGCCCGTGAGAGTGCATGCGGATGAGGGCTATACCCGAGTACTCGAGAGAGAGAGATTATACACTCACATGGCCAAGGGTTCCGAATCCATGCATAACCGAGTCTGATCCGCTAGTATGAGTAGAAGTCACGTAGAGTGAGAGCGAGTCCCAGCCGTGTCTCCAGTTAGATGAGGCCGTGACTACTAAAGAGAGTTAGTAAAAAGAGTTATGAGAAAGAGAGAGTAGTGAGAAGTATAAAGAGAGAGTAAATGAGGATTGTAAGGAAAAAATTAGAGAGAGTAAGAGTTACGGGGATAGATGCGTAGAGGATTTACTTACTGAGCATTAGTTGTGCTCACCCCATTGCTTTTCATGTTTTGCAGGATCTAGGTGAGGACACGGTCGGATGGGCGTCGGCAAGCGAAGGGAAATGGCTACACTGTCCACCTTGTTTTGTTGTTTTGTACATGACACAACTTTTTGTATTTAAAGAATGTATATATCTAATAAAAGAAAAAATTTGGGCCCAACCTTTTATATTACTTTATATGTATTTTATTATGAACATGTTTTATGAGTATTTGAGTAGAATGGAGTTATTACAGGCCACTGGTGGGTACAGTCTCATGGATTCACAAAGGCTAGCCTTCAACAATTTTAATTCTTTCAGTGATTCGTAATCCAATGTTTTTCCCTTGGTGAATTTTGTCCCTTTAACAATCTCTTGCTCTATTTTAGGAGTGCAGGAAATCAACCAGCATAGCCATGTCATTGCTGCTGAAGTTGTATCTTGACCTACCATAATCAGCATGGTTGTCAAATCGCATATCATATTATGTATTAAAAATCTAATTTTTTGAATCGTACATCACGTATCGTATTATATCGTTAGATATGCATTTTTCAAAGAAATTAATAAAATAATAAAAATTTTCTAAAAATTAATATCATTCCAAAGATTAATTAAAGAATTTTGTGGTATTATTAGTTTTAAATTATGGTATTACGTATTCAAAATTAATTATAAAATTAAGAATCTATATCATTTCCTCTCAACCATTCATATTATTTCTAAGGTCAATGTCAATATCTATATCTCCACTTAT